ACGAAAGGCAAAATCATAATATATATGGCTGTGATTGTTCGCCGGATATACCTGGTTATCCGTACATTAGCGGATTAGTTACGGGAACCTACCAAAGTAAAATTATACGTTTGTTAAGTGCAGTGACTAGCTAAAATCAAATTAAATTTGTTGTTGCATTTACGGGGCCTTTTAAACATCAAAACACAATAATAACATCTTCAATTTTAATACACCTTAAACCGCAGATATAATTATGTAAGCCACACAGTGTCCTATATTAATACCGGATGAAAATACAATAAAAGATACATGTCGTGATAAGTTATTAATTTGTAAAATATAATCTTCAAAAAATACTTGCCACTAAATATTAACATGCATGAAGAAAACAGGCCAAATGCGAGTCGGGGTCACGCATGAACGGCAAAAGATCTTTTAAAACGACAAAAATCATGTCCGTTATATGGGAGCCAAACTTAAATATTTTTTTTATTCTTACACATAATATGATGGCATACCTAAAATGAAGCAGCAATATCCAAAACCGCCCAACTGCGAGTTGGGTTCGCTCACGAAGGGTTCTGTACCATTATGTATAAAAACGGAAAATAAAATGTCTGTTCTGGAGCCTCACTTAAATATTTTTTTAGTATTTGTTGTTATAGCAGCAACAGAAATACATCATCTGTGAAAATTTCAACTGTCTTACTATCACGGTTCATGAGGTACAACCTGGTGACAGACGGACAGACAGACAGACAGCGGAGTCATAGTAATAGGGTCCCGTTTAACCCTTTTGGGCCCTAAAAAGGATGATGTCAACTACATCAAGACCCTTGTAGTGTCAATGTGGATAAATATTATGGTCTCCACAAATTTTCTTGTCAAAAAAGTGCAAGCCACCTTTCCTGCCACCGATCCTAGAACGACGTCATCCGTAAGGCTGTTGCTGTCAAAGTTCCTTCTATATTTTTAGAGTCCCTTTATATAATCACCACGATAGCAAGATACCCGACAGCTTGATTTTGATTCCTTGGGAAAGAGGCAAAAACCTCTTTGGGGATACTAGCTGTGAAGATAATTTAGCTGCCTTTTATCTAAGGGGGCTTGAAAAAGTTGGTCTGTATTGTGTTATCCTAACAATGGTAACCTCGGCTCCAATGTCATCAGTTATTTGTTACGTAATTTAAGGTAAGGTTTTAAGGTAATTTGTAATAATGCTTATCTACTTGTCACTTTCTCGTAGAATGTCAAGAGAAATTTCTTAATAAACGTTTATTACCAACATTCCGCTCCAAATATTTATTGCTGTAATTTAGAAGCCGCCACGATGGTCTATACAAACAGGTGCCTATCAAGTCAAAAGAGACAGGGAGTCTTTGGCCCAAATTGTATTGTAAAATATATGTGAAGAATTATAAGTTGAGATGTAGTTTAAAAAAAGAGTAAAATTTTTTATTTCAAGGAGTAATATAAATATTAAAAGTCTGGAATACTTTTGTGGCCTATTTTAATAATAGAAAGAAGATAACATTTCTACGGTCTGATTAGTTACATTCCTTTTTTAACACTTTTGTTAAATTTAAATATACCACTCAAATTACGCAAAATTTTATGTTACGGATTATTAAATGATTTCTAGCCATCTATAATGTTGAAGTAAAATCAGAAATTTATTCCTGTTCTTTATATCAAGAAGTAAAAATATATGTGAAGAATTATAAATGACTAGCGACCCGCCCCGACTTCGCACGGGTACAATGTATCAACTTGTAAATCTTCCTTTTGAATCACTCTATCTGGTAAAAAAAACCCGCATCAATATCCGTTGTAGTTTAAAAGATCTAAGCGAAGCGTACTTAGGGACAGATAAACAGCGGGACGACTTTATTTTATACTGTGTAGTGAAGCTAGCTGTGTACAAGAAACCTCTTACAGGTTTTGAGAGATGAAAATTTTACAGCAGAAGCAGCGTGGGCTACATGCGTAAATTCTTTTGCTCTTCTCGCAATCTGAACATCAACGAGATAATTTCGCAATAAAGAAAAGGGGAAATATACAATAAAATATGGTTTATGTTTGTTTCAAATCGAATACTCTGGGGACGAGGTTGTTCCATTTTTAAATTGTCCGCGTGTATCTTTAAGACATTGTTGTATTTATCATAAGATAATATCTTTGACACTTTAATAACGAAAAATAAGTTTACACCGGTCAAAATAAGATATTTTTTTTATGAGAGGACGTGGCAAACGAGCTGATGGTTCACCTGATGTTAAGTGATAAACGCCTGCCCATGGAAATTTGCAACACCTGTAGGGTTACAAATGCGTTGCCACCTCTTAATAATGTGGGCCCCGGCTACCTCACCCACCAGACGAAACGCAGAAGTTCAACACTTCTACTTTGCACCGGTCTTCTGTGAGGTTGTGGTACTAACCCGGACGGACCAGCCCATTCGTGCAACAGCAAACACTGTGGCGTGGCACAACCACCGTAAATTGATGACAATTTTATCAATGTCGTTTGTTTTAACTAAGATGTATTTTTTCTTCATTTGGAACAGAAAAAGAAAGTGCTACGTGATTTGGATGAAATGTGGGTACACAAAGAAAACATGAAACACATACATAAGAAGTTTTAAAGAGTTGGCAGAGAAAATAGATCAATATAGCTGTTATTGCCCGAAAAGCTCAATTACAACTCGATCAGAAACTAAAAAAAAGTATAAAAGACAGAACTGTGACGTAAATTAAACTTTTTAAACTTAGATGACTTAGTTGGAAACACGTCTATACAGCGTCTTGTGTCTATGGCGATGGTCCTCAATTACCATCAGTTGAGCATATTACTCAGTTGTCATGTTTTTATCCATATACAGGAAAAACCTCTGAACGAAGTGAATAAAACTGTTTTCGGTTCTAAACAGTTACAGTTGTTTGAATTGATCGTTATTCAAGGGTACTAATGTGCTTTGCTGATGCAAGACTGTTAATCGTAAATTTTTAAATGTGTGCAGCTAAACTAAGAACGAATAGTTGACTATTAGGATATGAAGGTCATCTTAAGCTAAAAGGAGCAGCTATCAGCTCAGCCTCTACTAACAGCGCTAGTAGTGGCCAAGAGGACTAGCGAAGGTCTCTCATAAACCGCCATGTTGAATTTTGTGCAATTTGCATGCTAAAGCTACATTTAATTACAATTACCTGGTAATCATCAATTAAATAATCAATATCTTTTTCTTATCGATACAGTGCTTAAGGAATTGTCGACCTTATGAAAAAAGTAAGATCTACATGAGAGTAAACGTTAAATCGATCTTGCGTTTGCTATAATGCAGCTGTCCATAATTGTCCATAGACGCATAAAACGACTTGACATGTGCGGAATTGTGATAACTCACAAAGCAAGCCATGAATAAAAAGAAGAAGAGAAGCATTTGCTAGTAATTTATCAAATAATTTAATCTTCACTGTCAGCAACTATTTCAGACTGAACCATCTTCAAAAATGTTACAGATGGTTATGGTACAAAGTCTAAAAGAAATATTAGTACTTTATTGACAGATAGTAATAAAATTACCTGAAACTTAGCAAAATAGACAAGAAATTCAAGGTAAGTTATTTAATTATGCTTATTAAATCAACATCCAGCAATAAAATAGCTTCCTTTGAATTAATAATCATAATGAATGTTCGCCTAAAATATATCACTAAAGGTAGCTGATAGTGAGAAGAGAGAATAGCAGTAAGAGCGTTAATTTTTTTTCTTTATTAGGTCTAGAAAACTGAATACAACCTTAACATAAAATTATTGTATTCAGTTGATGAAATTATTGACGAAACATAATTGGTTTATTATGTATTAATAGAAATATTTTTAGTACAAATTAATTTATTACGATTACATATTTATATTTACACATTTTACCTATTATTTAGATATTAATATTTTCCTCACATAAAGAAGTTGATGAAAACAGGAGTAAAAGGAGAATTATAAGATAAAGCTATAGAAGTCTCTATTAATGATATGGTCTAAGATCCGAATCTAAATCGACCTTCACCGAGCTGATAATAGAATAAAATTTATTTTATAATAAATTTAGTATATTAGAAAATACATTAAATCTGAGTTGCCTAAAAAAATCCTGGACAGTATATTTTTAATAATTTTTAAAAAATATGAAATGTTCCAACATCAAGATATAATAAGAAAATATTATCCTGGATTGCAATATAAAACAAAAATATAAAAATTTTTCTATTATCCAATCAGTGAAAGTTTTCCTAGTTTTAATATATTTTCGAATATACTAAATTTATTATAAAATAAATTTTATTCTAATAAGCTCGGTGAATGTCGATTTAGATTTGGATCTTCTACTAATATACCTTAATGGTAAACACATATTTACATACTTAACGAAGATTCTGTGATTAACATATCTCTTAGAATATCGTGCCTTTATAATTAATGGAACCTTTGCAAATATTAAGGTGTATTATAATTCGACACTCGGAATGCTTAACATTTTGCATATGATTTCCCCAATGATGTTTTAATATTGATGACGCTTGTCCATACTGCACTGCGTTTAAAAATATTTCCGCTTTATATGACATATGTTAATTGTAATGTACGGGACAATGATACTCAGAGATTCAGAACAGACTGGTTTATTGAACTCTCGCAACATTGTAAATCGGTAATGTTTTCACATCTACCTACATACATAACACTGTCTCCCCCTTAAAATATAAGAAAGTAACATCATATTATATAAATTTGCAGATACATATTTTAGGTAAACAAGTAGGACTTTAATTTTTTTTAAATACTTAAACAGAGTCTTATGCATAATGAGAAAATCACTACTGAAGCCTAGGTTAATGTACTAAAATTAAGGTTTACATAGATGTTTACATTGGGCAGGGAACACAAACTCGTTGGCGTGATAAGTGATAATTTGAGGTTCTATATTAATTATTTACTACTTATATATATTTTTTAATTCATCTATGCATCGCCGCCTTGCGACGCGCTCTAATAATAGGTACTTCAGGTTCCGTATCCTCCTGACTCTCTTTCACTTCTTCCTCGCAACGATCTCGCTGCGACACTTCCTTGTTATTAATTAACGGTGTGTTTATATTTCTAACGCAGTCCGAAGCGGTGTCGGATAGGTTACACGATTCTTTTCCACTGTCGGGTTCTTTATGTATTTGTGCTAAAGAAAAGCGTGCCTTGCTACGCCGACTATCACCTAGAATTTGATCAACGTGTCGCTTTTGTATACGTCCATCGACAGTTTTGACAATATACGAAACGGGGCCGGGTCTCTCTAACACTACTGCCTCAGCCCACTTATTTCCTAGTTTGGAATAGTCCCGAACTAGTATTGGGTCACCGGGTTTCTGTACGCGTAGAGGCGTGTCTTTGGCACGCGCCTCCGCCGCTTGCTGCGCGCTGTGTACGCGCTCTCCGACGTCGGGCCGTAGCAGGTCGAGGCGCCCGCGCAGCCGACGCCCCAACAGCGCCACCGCGGGTTTGCGGCCCGTCGTGCAGTGTATTACGATATGTAAATAAAAATTTACACAGCGCCATATTATCGTCAACATTTTCTATTTCGGCTTTTTTTTAATAATAATAAAATATCTTTATTCACATAACGCTTGCGCGTTCTTATGAAACGTCAAAATTTTACAAGAAATTAACACGTTCGTAAGTTACCACCGGTTCGGAAAGCAGTTTCTATTGAGAAGAAACCGGCAAGAAACTCAACAGTTGCTCTTTTTTTTTACAATATAATAGTACATGTACTATAGTCTTGTTTTAGCCTACGTGATATCAACAGTATTAACCCCACACATTGGCGTCGTCAAGATATTCGGCAATAGAATAATAGGCTTTAGACATAAGTTTACTTTTAATTTTTCGTTTAAATTCATCAAGTGGCAGACTTAATATTGACTGTGGGATTTTATTATACATGCGCACACCTTGCCCCATGAACGACCTGTTTACTTTTTGTAAACGAAACAATGGCGTAGTTAGTTTGTCCTTATTTCTAGTATTTAGTTTATGTCTGTCACTATTCTTTAGTATAACTATTAATATTATTTTTAACATACAAAATATTACAATAAATATATTGAGACGCAAAGGTGAGTATATTAATCTCTTTAAAAAGGTCTCTGAGTGTATTCCGGGCTCCGATGTTATAGATTGCTCGGACAGCTCTTTTTTGAATATAGAATTTATATCAGATGCACTAACCCACAACAAAATGCCGTAAGACAAGATGCTGTGGAAATAACTGAAATAAACAAGTCTGGCAGTGTCGATGTCTGATAGCTGCCTAACCTTCCTAATTGTAAAAACAGCGGAGCTTAACCTGTTCGCAAGAGATGATAGATGGGGACTCCATTGGAGCTTTGAATCCACTGTAATTCCCAAGAATACAGCGGACTCAACAGGATTAAGGGTTTCGCTATTTAATGTTAAACTAAAACTTCGCCTTCTTACGCTGGGAAGGGTAAAAAGAAGGCATTTAGTTTTTTTTTTTAGCATTTAACACCATATTATTAACGGTAAACCAGTGGAGGATACGCGAAAGTGCACTATTTACGTCGTCATAATCCGACACGTTTCGGTCAACCTTAAAAATGAGCGATGTGTCGTCAGCAAACAGTACAACATCACATAACTCACTGGCATAAAAGGGGAGATCATTTATATACACTAAGAATAATAATGGACCCAAGATTGATCCTTGTGGGACACCCATTTTCATGGGGGACCCTGTGGAATTTACATCATTTATAGATACTTTTTGAATTCTATTATTAAGGTAAGAGGCAATGAGATTGAGGGCGATGTCACGAATGCCATAATAATCTAACTTTTGAAGGAGGGTTTCGTGGTCTACACAGTCGAAAGCCTTTGAAAGGTCGCAAAAGACACCTATTGCATCTTGTGACCTTTCCCAGGCGTTATAAATATGCTTGACAAGTGCGACACCCGCATCCGTTGTCGATCTGCCTTTAGTGAATCCATATTGCTCATTGTGGAAAATTTTGTTCATATTAAAATGTACTAAGAGTTGATTTAAAATTAGTTTTTTCAAAAATTTTACTCAGAGATGGCAATATGGAGATAGGTCTGTAATTTCCTGGATCATTTTTATCCCCACTTTTGAAAACGGGGATTATCTTACTGAATTTCATAAGATCTGGAAATATTCCAGAATCTATACATTTGTTAAAAATATTTGCCAAATATGGTGCAATATACGGCATTATTGTACTCATTAATTTTATGGACATGCCCCACAAATCTCCTGTATTTTTAAGATTAATAGAATTCAAAACTTTTATAATATCATTAGTATCTATGTGATTAAATTTAAACGTTTTTCGCCAATAGGTAACATTATTTTTTAATACATTAATTACATCAATGGGAGAGGATTTTAACGTGCATGTAACATTAATTGCAATTTCTGAAAAATAACTTTCAAAACTACTTGCAATTTCATTATCTGAAGTTATGGGTGTATTGCCTATCACTAGCTTTATAGGTTCCCTGAATATCTTGGGTCTTCCAGATATACAGGTAATGATGTCCCATGTAGCTTTTATTTTATTACTAGAATTTAAAATCCTATTTCTTATGTAGATAGATTTTGCATGTATACAGACTTTTTTAAATATTTTTGAAAAATTTTTTACCCGTTTATGGAAATTAGGGTCGTGATTCCACTGCCTCATATTATATAATTCATACAGTGAATCCCTACTTTTATATATACTTTTATATACCCACTGTTGCCCAGTCACTAAATTTTAATTTTGATTTTTTAACAATTGTGCGGGGTTTAAAAATATGATTATAGGAAGTTATGAGAAAATCAACCATTGATCTATAACAATCATTAGGGTTATTGACTCCGATATCTTTATGGAATACATGCTGTGCTACTTTATCTTTAAAAGAATTTAGTCTCCTAGCAGTGACTGGTCTACACCTGATCTTAATTTCACTTGTAGTAATGTTTTCATTTATTGAAAATTTTAAACCAAGATGATCAGAGCTCAGATAATTTATAATAGATTTGTCATATACTTCATTGTGACAGAAAACGTTATCGATACATGTGGAGGATAAGTTAGTAACACGAGTTGGTTCATAAAAAAGATTTTTAAGTTTGAATGAATTAAATAAATTTAAAAGCCGCTTACTAAGTTGTGTTACTTGTAATAAATCCACATTAAAATCTCCACAAACTATGACTGATTTACTAGTTAAACACAGTTTTTTAAGGACATCATCCATGACACACTCAAACTGGTCGAAATCACCGGAGGGGGGTCGATACACGCATACTATAATATACTGTTGACTCTCAACGCAGGATAATTCTATAGAACGTTCGACAGAGAGTGCCATTATATCCTGTCGATTTTTACAGACTATATCATTTCTAACTAACACAAGAGAGCACCGCGTATAGCATTTACTCTTACGAACGAACTTAACATTTTATAATTCTCTATATTTACAATATTACAATTCTTATGTAACCATATCTCTGTGAAGCAGATGACATGAATATTAAATTTCCTAAGGAACAGTTCTATTTCAGGTTCTCTGCCACCCAAGCCTTGTATATTTTGATGTACAATATTTAATTTCTGTGGCCTAGGTGTTGTCTCAATGTTTAGTTTAAACTAACATTGTTTGATGACGGATTATTACATGTTAAAATATTCTTAGTTGTACTATGTACAACTGGGTTCTGTATATTGTATGCTACTAAAGTAGCAATTTGTTTCTTATAATATAATGGCAAATACCAAGTATTTTTTGTCACCTTAAAACTAGATTTAATAAAATTATTCATGTCAAAATAATTTAAATTTTAATTGATCGCACTGCGTTCTCCGCCGCACCGTTGCTCGCCGGATGGTACGGAGCCACGAGCGTATGCTTTATGCCATTACGTTTCAAATAACATTCAAATTCCGCAGAAGAGAACGGAGGACCGTTATCGCTCACGATATGCTTCGGTAATCCAAATCTAGCAAAAATTTTTCTTAACTGTGTAATGACGACCGAAGCTGAAATACTACTTACTCGTTCGACCTCAATCCATTTAGAGTGAGCGTCTACGATAACTAAATAATACTTGTTTCTGAATGGACCGAGAAAATCCATGTTGAGTCTAGACCATGGCTCGACCGGCCAAGGCCATGAGTGCAGCGGCGCCGTCGGCGGCATAGCTCGTTGTGTGCGGCAAGCCGCGCACTCTGCGCAAGTGCGCTCGATGTCTCCGTCTATAGACCCCCACCACACGTAGTTGCGGGCGATCTGCTTCATCTTTACGATGCCGGGATGTCCGTCGTGTAATTCCCGCAGTACGATTTCTTTTAATGATTCCGGTATTACTATTCGGTAACCCCAAATTATGCCACCTTGAATGATATGTAAGTTATCTCTTCTATTAAAGTAGGGTTTTGCGGATGGTGAATCGACCTTTTCGGGCCAACCAAACATTATGTATCCATATATCTTACTAAGTAACGAGTCTTTCATCACTTCCTTTTTAATATCCTTAAAATTGAGTGGAAAATTCTCTTGTAACAAATTAAAATAGCTGCAGTTCTCGCCCTCACCCCCAGCTCGAATCGTCGAGCTCAGTGGAAGGCGTGATAGAGCATCAGCTTGGCAATTCTTGGATGAGCTTATATACTGTATATCGAAGTCGTATGCAGCTAACTTAACCGCATAACGTTGCAATCTACTCGCGGCCGTGACTGGTATGCCTTTATTCTTACCAAAAATATAACTGAGCGCACGATGGTCAGTGCGTAGCACAAACTTTCTACCGTATAAGTAGTGATGGTGACGAGTGACACCAAACACAATGGCGAGCGCCTAGTTGTCAATTTGGGAGTAGTTGGTTTCAGTGGGTGAGAGCGTGCGCGACGCGCAGCACACGATGCGCTCGCCGTCCGCGTGCACCCGCGTAAGCACCGCGCCTACACCGTACGGGCTGCTGTCCACCGATAGGATCAGCGGGAGACCCGGGTCGTAGTGCGCTAGGACGGGAGCACTGCATAGCACCTTTTTAATTCTATTAAATGCAAACTCACACTTATCATCCCAACGCCATTTAACATTTTTCTTTAATAAATTATATAAAGGTTTCAGAATGTCACTCATATTAACACAAAATCTCCCATAGAAATTAACAAGTCCCATAAAACTTTTTAACTGTGTCACATTGGTCGGTTTGGGAGCGCCTACAACAGCCTCAATCTTTTTCATATCTGTGTGTAAACCATTCTTATCTATCTTCCAGGTATGTTACACTATCCTTAAAAAAATTACATTTCGTGTAATTAATTCGCAGACCGTTATCTTTAAATCTTTGTAACACAGCTTTCAAGTTACTAATATGTTCTTTTCTATTTTTGCCTGTGACACATACGTCATCTGCGAAGACCGCCGTAGACGGCAAGCCACTCAAGGTTTCCTCCATTATTTTTTGAAAATTCTCTGGAATACATTTTATTCCAAATGGGACGCGTCTATAAATAAAAGTGCCGACGTGAGTGGTGATCGCCGTCATCGGCTGAGAGTCTTCCTCTAAAACACACTGTTGGAAAGCGTTGGAGAGATCTAGCTTCGTGAACTGTTCGCCACCGCCCAGTACGGCAAACAGTTCCTCAATCCGTGGCAGCGGATAATGAAAGTCTTTTAAACGTGGATTAATAGTGACCTTGTAGTCACCACACATGCGAATTCCCCCGTTAGCTTTAATAATGGGTACAATCGGCGTTCCGTAATCAGATCTATCAACTTTGTATATAACACCCTGCAGGCGACCGAGCTCGTCCTCTACCCGAGCACGCAGTGCCAGCGGTAGGGGCCGCGCCTTTACAAATACCGGGCTATCGTCCTTTAAAAACAAACGTATGCGCGACTTGAATGTGCCTAAGCCGTCTGCGAACACGTCGGGGAACTCGGCTCGTAAGGCAGTCGCCATCGAGTCCTCAGCTATATTATGACAATCGGTAGTACGTAGTTTTAACTGTCGGATCCATATTCTTCCCATTAATGGTGGACCACCATTTTCAATCACGTATAATTTAAAGTTAGCGAATTTTTTTTCAAACATAACATTAACATTAATATAGCCAAGTGTCTCGATAACGTCCCCCGTGTATGATTTTAACATTAATTTTTTATTTACTATTGGAATATTTACAAAATTCTTATTATAAAACGATTTAGATACAGCTGAAATCTTACTGCCCGTATCTATTTCAAATTTGCACATTATATTTTCTACTTTAATGTTAGCGTAATATGGACTATCACCATCGTTAACAACAATTTTATAAAAATTACTATAATCATTATCAGAGTTATTGTTCATGAAAAACTGACCTTTAGACTTGTAATTTTTCTTCGGAGCGCTACCACCCGTTACAAACTGACCGCACATAACTTTGAGGTGTCCTTTTTCTCCGCAAGAATCACATGTGTAGTACTTGTAGCGGCACTTGCCTTCAGCATGCTGCCCCTTACCACACCGCCGACACGTGTTGCGCACCGATGGGCCAGCCCCCGCCGCGCCCGCTCCGCCGCCGCCGCCGCCGCCGCCGCGCCTCGTCCGCGCGGCGCTCACTCGATGCAAGCCGTCGTCAGCGAGCCGCGCGCCCGCGCCGCCGGAGCCGCTCGAGCTGAGCGCGGTCGCGCACGCCGCCCCCGCATGCCGCTCCGCCGCCTCCAGCGCCAATGATAGCTCCACAGCTCGCGCGTAGTCTATGTTTCTCTCCGCAAACAGCCGCGAACGCATTTCTTCGCTGTATAACCCCGAAACGAACTGATCACGAATGTTCATCTCAAGGGTCTCTTTAAAATTACAGCTTTTAGCGAGATGCTTCAAACTTTGTAAATATGCACGAACGCTTTCTCCTTGTTGTTGCTTTCTTTGCCTGAAGCTCCAAATGCAAAGAGCATTTGGAGCTTCAGGCAAAGAAAGGCAACTAGTCGAACCAGTTCATCGAATGTTTTTTCCTCGGGCTGGGTTGGTGAACACAAATCGCACATCAACTCGTAACACTCTGCGCCAACTAACGTCACAAGCGTTGCTACGTGTAACTCGTCCTTGATACCGTTCAATGTCATGAAATGTTTTACACGACGAATATAAGCGTCCCAATTTTGACCACTAATGTCAAAAAATTCGATTTTACCAAACGGCATTGTAAATAACCAAATACACACGCGTAAGTTTAGATTAAACTAACAAAAACAAATTTTCGTTAATATTTTGTAATCCTCGTCGCCAGTGTAATGTACGGGACAATGATACTCAGAGATTCAGAACAGACTGGTTTATTGAACTCTCGCAACATTGAGAGAGCCGGTGGTTTTTTTTTAATGTGAAAGTTGCCAAGCGAGCAGGCGGTTCACTTGATGTTAAGTGAATACCGCCGCCCTTGGATATCTGCTACACCCGAGGGTTGCAGATGTGTTGAGGTGACCGGAGCCCAGTTTTCAAAAGGTTGTCCCTTTTGAAAACTGGGCTCCGGTCACCTCACTCATCAGACGAAACGCGAAAGTATTGTACTTCCACTTTACGCTTGTCTTCTGTGAGGTCGTGGTACTTACCCGGACGAGCCTGCCCATTCGTGCAACAGCCGAGGCTGCTGCGTGCTCTACCACCGTGATATAGAAGGATTGTTACGGAAAGAGATAGCAATCTATAGAATTGCAATCTAATTACACATTTCTTTTAGATTTCACGTTTTTCTATTATCGTGACTCCAAGCACCAGATACAAACCAGACATAAATATAAAATATTCGCACGTCACAAATCCTAATACCGCAATACTCACTGCGACAAGCGTTAAAAAGTATAAACAGTAAAAAATATTTATTTGGAAATTAAAAATTGAAATTTGTTTAAAAAAAAATATGTTTTTTTTTTACAAAATAATAGTCAATTAGTTTTTGGATATGTTGTACCAAAGCTTTTTTGAAAAAAAAAAAAAAAACAAATAGGAAACGCCTAGAATAAGTTACGGATTTTATTGGAATTTAAACAGTTCCGCTAAATAGCTAACAGTTTGCTGTTGCACTGATGGGCCGTTCCATCCGGGGCGACCACGACCTCACAGAAGACGAGAGTGAAGATCAACAACCGGATGGATATTGCAAATGTACATGGGCCTCGTTTGTTACTTTCTCACATAAAAAAAAACCATAAACTGTGGAAGTAAAACACAAAGGATCGTATTTCCATTTAGTTACATTTTACTAATGAACTATTAATTTAACAAAAAATAAAGTTCACTAACCTTTTTATTTTTTAATAAAAACATTCACTGAAATTTAATTTAAGTTTCCAAGCTAATTATACATAAGGCTGCTAAGCTGCTTCGTGAATAAATATGGGCGAAAAGAACGGGAAAGGACATATTTTCTGATGACAAAAAGTAATATCTAAATTACAGTCTTGGGAAATTTGATAAGTTATTTAAGGCGTGGGACAAGTATGAGCCGAAAACTTTTACGATTCGGGCTTTAAGCGTACTTTATAAGAAATGTAAAAACCATATTATCACATAAAATATTTGATAACTTACTTTGTGTTCCAACGATGCGATAAGGTGTTGTTTAAAAAATATAAGGCCTTTTTGTAAAAGAATCTTTTTCAATTTCGAGCGGTGGTAATCCCTTCTCATTAAGGGAACTGCCTCCTCGCTTGTCAAAGTTCTACATTTAAAAAAAAACCATTCATAAGTTATAGCCTTTAGGTTTAACATCGGAAAGCGTGCATAGCGAGAATGAAGATGTCCCCTGTGCTGGTGAAATTTTAAGAATAATTTCCTTCTAGTCTCTGCACTGAACTTGAAAATTAATATGTGTAGATAAAACTAGACCAGTGCCATCCAAGCTGACTTTTCCGCCATCGAAGCTACTGCGATGGTAAAAAGGTCCCATTGTGTCCGGTCTTCTGGACTAGGATCCGTCGCTCGGATATTTACGAAGGTCACTCAGCGAGAATGTGAACATCTTCAACTACTCGAATATGCTCTTTTCTTGACCCAGATATTAACGGTTAAGAAAGATCGCCGGTGAGAGCTTGTCCACTGAGTTCACAGAGTGTGGAACTAGCTGTCGCCGGCGTTGTGGAAAGCTGGGCATTGCGGTGGTGTGCATAGTATTTCTAGTTTTGGCGCGACGTCCGATAGTGAAATTCCACGGCCGAGATAAATCCAACAATAAAAACAATGCCTATGAACACACCCCGTGATAAATGAATGAAATAGAAGATGTAGAGTTATCTAACATCTCTATGCAAAGCCAAAGGATCGATCCGGCCGAAAAGATGTAGATCCATTCCTCTCCAGCCACCAACAAATGTGTGCTTAGGATCATATCACCAGTTACATCATCACCCGAGATTCGGCATCATCCTGAGAAAGTCGATGTTGAGTTTAAACTAAAAGTCCAGTTTGAACAATATTTAAGATCCTCGTTCTACATGACCATCATTCTCTACAAATTATAAATCTTAGCTCTGCACCGCACGTTAGCTGCTGAGATATTCTCAGGGATAGAGAGGGATATCAATCGCTCGACCTGCACATAGAGAAGGGGGATAAGGCAACAGTTTGTGCACCACATCCGCCACTTTGTCGATTCGTGGGGCAAAGTGTTTAAAGTACCTTTGAAAGCTCTGACAACTATTCGGGGTAAGACCGAGGTAATCATCCCTAATGATGGTTTTTCTCAATAACATATGATTTTATTACAATTGCTCATTGATGCACTTAAAAACTAGATTAAGTAAATTATTCATTAATGTATAATTTATTAAAAACTTTAGAACTGAAACTCACTTTTTCAAAATAGAACATGAACCAAAGCACGATTGTTATGTGTAATATTGTAATGGCCGAGGAATCAGAAGTACTGTAAAGCACCTTGGCCTGTCTGATCATTCCGCCCAGCTTTAAAAATCCCAGATAAAAACTTATAAGTCACAGATTGGAAATAGATAATGTTGCGGAAATAAATAAACGGAAGTATTCGTCGGAGAAAGGTAATTTCTCGCGAAGAGTAGTGGACTCAAATTTCAGACCGACATATTATAGAATTTCATTCCGTTAAATATTCAAAAGTAAACATCTAATAAATGTGTATTGTCTTTGTATTTATTATTATTTGTTCAAATTTAATTAATTTACAGAACATCTTGGACATTAACAGTATGTTATATTTTGTTGCACTCAGGTCGGTGGATTTGTTTTCGGAACCGGTAGTAGTACTTTGGCAATAAATAAGTGTAATACTTCTATATTGAATAAAGAAATTTGAGTTTGAAAGATTTGAATTAATTTGGAAACATTTTGTAACAGATGTCACTGAATTCAAAGCGAAACCCAAAAGATGGCACCAGACAGCAAACATTTTTGAAACAATGATTTTTAATGGAGACTGAAAACTTCAAATACCCATTCAACAAGATGAGAGAAAAACATCATGAAAATGAAATTTTATTTATAATTTTGAATATTTCTTATCATAAACGAATGAAACAAAATTAAGTCTGTTACGACTAGTATTGACAAAATATTTTTATAATAAACGTTAAGATATAATGAATACTTTCTCTGAAATATTTATACAAAAAAATTTATAGAGGATATGTACAGAAAACACATATGGGAATTGCATAAAAGGGAAGAAGCAAACAAAAATTTTCGCGCGGCAATTTGCAGAGCCAATTTACTTGCGTAACAATTTTATGCCGTATTGAATTCTGCCTTTGAGAATTGTAACTCACTTTCCTACTTTCACCCAATTGAATTAGTTTAATGGGAAGACGGAGATGTGTGAAAATAAAATTGGTTATTCAGTAAAATGTTTTAGGGTTCCGTAAACAGTTCAACAGCACCGATATAATATTGTTCGATTACGTCATCTAAGACGAAGAATTAAAAAAAGCATGCATATTTTCCATTCTCTTGAATATTATTTTTTACTTTTGGACAGTGTGTTATGACCATAAATCACAATTTTGTGATTTATGGGTGATGTGTCTTTGGCTTTTGTCATATTCGCCCATCCACGTACTGAACACCTGCCGTGGTTTCTGCTATACTTTCAAGAACCTTGTCTGCCATTTAATCGCACGCCCATAAATCACAATTTTGTGATCAAATCTCTTTTTTCCTTTCCAATATTATGAAGAGTCTAATTTCGTTATTAATACCTGAAAGAGAGTGAGGCTTAACAGCTATAGATGTATGAATTTAATTACAAATAAACCAAGTGCGAGTCAGCCTCGCGCACGAAGGGTTCCGTACCATTATCTTTAATAAACTAATTGGTAAGTACCTATAGGTTACCTGTTAATGTTTAATATTCAACCTGTTAATATATTTTTTTTTATTCTGTGTTTTAGTATTTGCTGTTATAGCAGCAATAGAAATTCAATTGTCCAATTATCATGGTTAATGTACAGCCTAGTGACAGATGGATAGACAGCGGAGTCTTAGTATTAGGGTTTTAGCCTTTGGCTACGGAACACTGAAAAGAACGAGAATTCGAATAAATTCATTAATCGCTATATAATTTTTGGCCACATTATTTGCTTGCGCCTATAAATATGAACGTAATTACCTACCACATTAGCGATAGTACTCGTATATGTAATGAGCTGCTATGTAGCGCACCCTCATCAATATTCGGAATACGAATGGGTTTGTTAGAATGCCTTCTATCCTTAGAGGAATAAAATAAATCTGCCGGAAGTGACTTTGCACGATTGCTGCTGATTGGAATAAATCCTATTAAAGAAGCCGCTTCATCACTGTTACTAACT